TCCTCATAGGAGAGGTGTTCCCTTCCATAGATATTTTTGTGGCTGTCCTCTGGATGCACTCAAACAGGTCTGTATCTCTTTTGTACTGAGGACTCCATTTTTGCTCACAGTACCCTGCAGTCCAGGATGTGGTTGACTTTCTGGGCTGTGAGGATGTATTGCTGGCTCATGTCCAGCTTCCCATCCACCAGTATGCCCAGGTCCTTATAGGCAGGGCCACCCTCTATCCTTTCATCCTCCAGTTTGCATTGGTAGTGGATGCTGCCTAGACCCAGGAGCTGGGCCATGCTCCTGGTGCTGTTGGCTCCCTACACTACTCAGTGAATTGCTCTGGATACTGCAGGCAGGCTGACTAAGCATTTCTCATGCTTGCCTGTTGATCCTCTCTATTCATCTTTCTGCCATCAGAACTTGCATAATATCCATACTCCCTTATATTATTCACTTCTCCTTTAAAATCTGGGGCAAGGAACACGGATTTATTGTACAAATTGAACTTACTGATTAAGTGTTTTCCAGAAATGCTTCTGGGACATTTTTTCCTGACAAGTAGCTAACATCTGTTGCACTGGCATTGTCATGAGAGAAAACTACTCAAAAGTTAACAGTCAAAATTACTTACGTTCATGAAAATACTGAGTATTTACAAAATGATTGTCCTGTAGCATACAGACTGCAAATCTAATGTCAATAGCAGTTAGAAGAACATGCATACCTAAGATACTGAACTATCTTCCTAAGCAAGATTGTGAAAACAATTGCTGCTTTGCTTGGTCACTGTAAGGAGAGAAAAGTTTTGTTATACAGGAAAATATTCAGAAACATTTGCTTCCTTCAGCTCACTGTCTGTCAAAGTACAGAATTACATACACTGATTGCTGTTTATCATTTCATGAGGCTGAAAAGAGAGGATGTCTGGACCAAAGGGCTAGTTTAATGATTAGATTTGTATCTTTATAGGAGGCTTAACCGTAACTTTCACCCAAACCACATTTCCTAGGAGAGCAGCCCCTATACCGTGCTGCATACTGGTAGAAGCACACTCCCCATCCTTACAGTTAAAGCTGTTCTATATCTATAGCTGTCCTATGAGGATGGAAACAAAGGACAAAAGACTAGACTGGCTAGCTAGTCCTCTGCTTTGGGCACCTGCCACATCAGAGTCACCTTGGTTCCCATGAATGCAGAATCCTGAGCCTCTTGTCCCAGTCCTGTGCCCAAGAGACCCTCTCCAAGCAACCACCCTCTGAAACTGGGCGTGAAATGTACTTTTCAGCTGCAATTAACAAACGCCTTGGGGACAATCAGATTACTTCCTTTGCTTTGTTTTTACTTGGTTGTGAATTCCCTTCTTACCCTGCCTGCCCTCACCACACCCAAGAAAACCACAAACCTTTCCCTTCAATGTTCATGCTATTACGTGCATCTTGCGATCCAATACATTTTAGTTTAGGAAAACACAAAACAGCTGTTTTATCTATGATGGATGAGTTGATGCTTTGAGCTTATCCTGAGTAAAAGGATGCAATATAACTGAGTGGAAATGGACATCAAACATTTAAATGGACATTTAATGGACATCAAATATTACAATATCTACGTAGGAAATTATTAAAATGCCAATGACCTTGTTAACTTTTTTGGGTAAGGATTCTGTAATAATATTCTTACTTAACAAAATGAGTTAAACTTTTTCCAAGCAGCACAAAACTACTTTTACAAGGAGTTCATTTCACAGCTCTTTGAAGAAAAAAATGTATTGGATGCAACTTACTAATTACAAAGTAGACCATACTTTAAGAAAGAAGAGTTCTAGTTGCTTGAAGAGAAGATTTATAATCCAAAGGTTGTAGTACCACAACTTTCTAAACATTTCCCATTCCTAAAGGACAAACACATGCTGGAAAACTCCTGTGAAAAATAACAGAAAGCAGCTTTCTTTTAGCTGCTATGCAATTGGGTTAATTCTATCACGAAATGAAGTGGTGCAAAAAGATTTATTAGCAATTAAGATCTGAGATGGAAATTGCTTAGGGCAATGGGAAGAGATTTGCTGCTTTCTGAGCATTAAGTCTCCTTCAGATAGTGTGGCAGAAAAGCTAAGACATAGCTTGAATCAGTGATTGAGCACCTGATGGAAAGGCAGGGCCAACCCAGAGGAACTCAGGTGCATGCAGTGCAATGCAATGCAGTGCAATCCCAGATTTCATTTAAGAGTTGGCAGTGGAGGTGAGGGTATCTTGTTGGAGATTCCTGTGCACCTAGGGCCTTCTGAAGGTAAGCATCTTCCTTTTTCTATTTCTGTACTCGTGGCTATTGCATTTGAGCAAGTCCTTACTTGCTACAACCTAAAGCTTTGCTGTTCTGCTGTGCTTTCCATTGTGTTACAGAGTTCTTTTATTGTCTGAGCAGCTTATTGGATATATCTCCTTTGTCCTGAGACAGAGTGTGGCTTGTGAGTGATGAGGATCTCACTAAAGGAGATGTAAGGAGGCAGGGGAGGTGCTGAGTTTCTGGTTCTTGCAGAGAATTTTATTCCATTGTCATCCAAGCTTTCTTTGCACACAGGAGCGAATGGATAATATGAGAACAGATAAAGGTAGGCAGTGACTATCTGACTGCCTGAGAAGATATTCCAAAACACTTTAGCACTTTGAATCTGATGCTTTGAGTTGAGATACAAGACAGATGCCTTACAGTTTTCAAAGAGTGCAGGACCTTCTGTGCATCCACAACTTTGGAAATACTTCAGCAAGTAAGTCACAGAATCACAGAATATCTGGAGTTGAAAGTGGTAACTTCATGCAGTTGGTGATTGCCCAGCCCTCTGATTTGTCCAGATCTCTCTGTCAGCCCTTTCTACTCCCAAGGGAACTAACAACTCCTCCCAGTTTAGTTTCATCTGTAAACTTACTTAATGTGCATTTATATCCTGCATCCAAATAATTTATCAAATGTCGGGCCCCAAAATGAAGCCCTGATAGCGACTGGCCACCAGCTCAATGCAATTCCACTTACTATAAATATGTTCCTGTACTGCATGATGTCACTTTGTTTCCCTCAATTTTTTTTTTTAATTTTTATTTTTGGAATTGTAGAAGTCTCTCCACTGTTTGCTAAACTTCCTTGTTTTAACAGTGAGCAGCTGCTTACCATTAGTCTTAAAGCAGACATCTTGAGATGTTTCTTTAGTTAAATAGTTTTGTTTTCTTGTATCTGGTTTGTTTCAGATGGGGTATTGTTTACTACTTTCTTCATACATTTCTCAGAAGTTTGAACTAAAATGACCTAAGAAAACTCAATTTACTCAGACTGCAAGGAAGAATCAAGGTGCAGTGTAAGCCTTCAAGACTAAATCATGCACGATCTATAAGAGAACTGTGCATTCATGTGGACATGACTTGAAGTTGTTTAGTGTTTTTAGGGTGGAAAATTTCCACTGAACTTTGGATCAAGTCTTTAGCAATTTCTAAGTCTTGAAAAATAAGGCTTGATGAAAGGTTACAAACACAGCAGACCAAGTGGCCAACTGGCAAATCTTCCAGAGTGCGTTCTCATAGCCAGAAGTAGTTAGTAGTAGGCTTTCTAAATGTGTTTTCTTTGGCAGCTGGTACACACAAAAAACCTCTTGGCTACATCCAGAGAAGAGTATTATATTAAATTCTTAAATTACTATTACACTGAATTCTTAATTGAGGATATTGGGAGTGTCAGTAATCAAAATTGCATCAAGGATGGAGTCGTTCTTGTGGGAGCATATAGGTTTAGCTGAATGATCACAGAAGAAAACTGAAGTTTTTTAGTGAATGCTTTTTTGCATGCTTTATGGCACATAAGCAACCCTGAGAAGCCCGTGTAATTCACAGCTTGTTTATAGAAATCCTTATTTGTATAACTGATCCTAATTTTTTTACCTCTGGTTAGCTCACCACTTAAAATGAAGCCTTTAAAGAGTGGTGGACTGATACACATCACTAGAGTGTCCTGCCTTGAACGCTTACTTTCTCAGCCTTCAGTAAGAGAACTATGCAATGTTTACTTTGAGACCTACAGGGAATGCAGTGTATGTAAATCTAGGTGTTCATGACTTCAAACAACTGGCTAGATTGAATTGGGAGCGCCTATGGAGGTGTAATGGTGATTGCTAGCTTCTACTTATTTTGACAAAGTGAGCTAAAAATCTCTTCCATGGAAGACCCTGAAGCGTGCTAAAACTATATGGAATCTTCTAAAGCTCAGCGTCACTTCTTTGAAAGGAAACCCTATGTTTAGCAATGCAAAAGTAAACACACGTTTGATCAGGCTTAATGTAGCAAATTGATAACATTTTTCTAGAGGCAAAAGGGCTTCAGTATTTAAGACTGCAAAGATCCAAATGCGGATTTCTTTATTCCTCTGAAGCTTGTATAAAAAAAACTTCTAATCCTAAAAAAGGCTGTAAATATTGTTGTTACTCTCCCTGTTCTGAGACAGGAGGTGGGTAAGGAACCCCTGCTAGTGTGTTGGTGGTTTGTACAGTGGGAATGGCCATGCAGGACTTCAGAGCAAGCTGCCCTTTGTCATGTGGTGATTTTGCTTCTAGTGAGGAGTTGGCTGAGGTGAGCCTCTGGTGGATGAAGATGCATACAGAGCAGGATAGTTAACAGGACCAGGATGATCAGAAGCAGCATTAGCAAACTAGTGCTACTCCAACAGCTACAGCAGTATTTTGTTTGGAGTTTTGTGCTTTACAACTTTCTCATGTTTCAGTGTTGCAGAGTAATTCCTACAGTATGAGCTTGAAGATATTTCCTGTATCGTGAGGTTTAATAGACATGTCAGCTGTTAGCTTCAGAAGGCATTTAACTTGGGATACAGTTACAGTAACAAGCTGTACCAGGGCTGCTCCAAAAGTAATGCCTTCTATTTTTATCATGTCAACCCATGACAGCAGAGGAGGATGGTGGTGGTATGGTAGAAGTTGAACCTTCCCACCAATATCCTACTACATGTCGTTGACAGGTGGCAGCAGAGGGGGACAGTCTGATAAAATGGCATCTGATATGGAAGGATATAGGAAGTGAAATGTGTGGAACAGAATTCCACCATGTGGAAACAATTGCACCCATTTGGTCCAGAGTTCTTAGAATTGGTTGACAATCCCTGGATTTGTAGAATATAGAGCAACCCTACAGCAGTGAGTAAAGGAGCCATAAGAAACCCAGAGTTAGTATCTAGCTGCCATGGCACATTGCCTAGGTGGGGAGCACTGTTATCCTAAAGTTCTACCAGCACTCGATCCATACACAGTGCAAAAAGCTGTGTTAAGACTAGTGGCAGAATCAGCTGTCTACTTTCAAACATCAGCAATTTTTGTCTAGTAATGCAGCTCTGATTGTGAAGATTGAGGATATTCTTCTTTGCCCTTAATTAGCAGTAGATCAGTATGCTTGTGTAAGCTCCTTAAGAGATTCACTGTTTAGCTTATTTTAATGCAGAGTGGAAATGGATATATACTTTTGTTTGTTTACCTCAGAAATCAATCTAAACATTGTACTGCATAGACCGTGCTGCTCAGTTCAGGCTGAGTAACATCAGATTCATCAGCAACTCCTTAGAAATATTTCCCAAGCTCATACATCATCATGAGAGAGAAATAAATTGATTCAAATTACAGTGAGAAATTGTACATCACACGCTGAGAAATTAACTCCATGGTTGTGAGCAGGAGAAACCTTCGGTAAGTGGGGCATCTGCTGGTGAGGCACTGCAATGAACTAATCTGCTGTGTGCTCCAAAGCCTGACCCAACACAGGCCATTCTGTGCTCCATTTGTCTGCCAAATAAGCAAGAGCCAAGCCTGACTACTGGGTTCTCTAGTCCAGATCATTCCTTTTCTCTTTGAATAAATCCTTACTTCTCTGTTGCTCCTTTAGAGATGCCTGACACATACATTGCAGCAGTAATCTTGTGAATGTAGTTTGTTTTTTGTTTTTAAAAAAAGGGAAATTGGCCAGTGAAACTTTTCAGAAGATGTGACACAAGTCTCAAAGCATTTCCAGCCTCCTCCCCAAACAAAATTTCATTACAGATTCTCTCTCTGTTAGATTATATGGCTTTCTTTCTTGTACTCTGATACTCTGGTCTGCTGCCCAAGAGTGTGAAAATGAATATTGTGCACAGGGAAACACAACAATAATCTAGAGAGAGAAAATCCAGAGCAACAAAACATGGAAAGCATGATTCAGCACTGAAGCCACATAAATCCTACTAAAAGCAAGAGTAAGAATTAAATTAAGCATTTCATCTTTTTTTATCCATTTAACATTGAAATTATGCTGCTCAGTCCTACTGAGCCATCCATAAGTTCTATTGCCTCCAGCAGTGATAACTCTGTCAGTAGAGCCTATAAAATATGAGGTCAGTACCTCCATTGCCTTAACAAATGAATCTTTTCTGTGATTAAATTATAATTCTGCTGTATGTCTTACAGTTGTGGATGCTCATTAAAAAGAGTAGAGGGAAAGCAAGTTTGTTCGCTGTCTCCAGAGTCCAACAGTGTAAGCTTGGCCTGTGTTAATCCTCTTGCTAACTACGTTGCTCTAAGTTTCTCAGTTTTGCATTTCTAGTAGTTGGCAGACTCATGAGATTTTTATTTTCCATTTACTGGCAAACAGACAATTTGCTGTAGAATTTATTGATACTAGGCACCTTCCTGATTCTGATAGGCAAAGCTACACTGTCCTTTGCTGGAAGAAGTAAGCCTTATAATGAAGCCTTTGTCAGTAATAAGGAATCTACTTTTTTTTCAGCACAGCAATATACATCTTTATAATGGTTAGGGAACTTCTGGTGTAATACTTTAGCATGAGTGTTATTTCTCTTTACCCAGAAGGCGTAAGTCAAAAGTACAAGGTTGCATTGAATGTCTGTAGTGTTTTTCTATGATTTTTTTTCTTAAAATGGCAATTTAAAATAAAATCTTAGGTAAGTATTAGATTTTTCTTTATATGAAGAAGGTGAGGCTTTCCAAAGTTCTTTCCTTAAAATTATCTAGCACAGTTAAATAGCTGTAGGCACTAAATAAAACAGGAAGGATAAGGAGTACAAGGGAAGGGTGCCACGGAAGGTATTACTGTCTCCTTTATATTTTAGAGATGAAGGGAAGTTGGAGAAACAACTAGTTTTGTGTCTCTCCAAGCCATTAACATTCCTGTATTCTCTTCTTTTTTTCCACGTGCGTTGGTTGGTCATGGGGTGGATTATTCCACTGAGGTACTTCAGGAGCTTTCAGTAGAAGAAAGAGGCACATCCAGAAGAAATTGGTAAAAATATACTCGAGCAGTTCTATGAGTGTAATCATACTGGCACCACAAAACAATCCAAGCTGACCACCTACATCAGCTGTGAGAGAAGAAGATAAACATATGTCATCCAAAGCGTTTGGTTTAGTCTAGGAGGCAAACAAAACCTTGCCACAATTCAAGTGCTTAATAAATTCAAAATGCATAATCCATCACCTTATGAAAACAGAATTACTGTTCTTAAGAATGTTTATGGGGAAAAAAAGACAAATGTGTTTCTTAATTTTAAACAAAGCGCATACAACAACATATTTTACTGTGGAATGTGTACTTAAAATATTTCCTACTTCTGTGCTTTCTTAGCCATTCTCTTGCTTTTCCTCCCTGTGTTTTCCTTCTCCCCTCCGAATTCCAGAAACTTCCTACTCTTGCAGTTAGTTCAGCATGTTGTATAAATGAAAACTACTGCAAGATTTAATTATTATTCTTAACTGTTTTCCCTACTGTAGGTCAGTAATGGCATGGCAGGAGGCCTATGGAAAAGAAACAGAAGGCAAATATGCTTATTATCACTGTAGTGTAAAAGCCATTGTTTTTTACTTATAAACCTGGATAGTCTAGGACTTGGGAGGGAGAGAATTTAAAAAAAACAAAAACAAAAACAAAAAAAGCAACAGATGTTTTAAACATTATTATTATTATTATTATTTTAATTGATCAGCAATAAACGTTAAAAATTCCCTTACCAAGCAACTCAGGTATGGTCAAGGCCTTCTGCTGCTGAGTTATTCTGTAGCTCAGATCATCGTATTTAATGTCAATAGTCACAAGGTTCTTCCTAATGATAAAATACATGCAGTATTACTTGAGAGTGCTGTCCATGCTTACCAACATCCATCAGTACGGACTGAGTTCATGCAGTGACGGTGCCTTTTAAAGGACAATCAGGTGGGAATTACAAAAAAAAAAAAACACCTGACAAAGTGTACTAATAGCAATAGTTGTAAGAGGAGGTCATTGGAGGAATTAGAACATAGCCTGAAGAGCAACTCAGCCTGAATCTACACTGTGGGATAAACTCCTTTTTCTTAAAGGCTGCAGAGATAATCTTGAGAGGAAGTGGTAACCATCTGAAGCCACAGCAGAGACAGTGCTTGGAAATATACCCTCTTGCTGTTGGTTATGTGCAAATGCCTATGTAATCCTGATAATTTCAATGGCTTGTGCATTTGCAATTGTGCAAAAAATCTCTTGCCCTATACTCAGATGCCTAGTTCTATCCTCTGCTTATAGCCTCTCTTACCTAATTATATTCTTGCTGCAAAAGTGCAAGAGTGGGTAAACCCTTATTGGAGCAGGACATGTGGAATGATTCAATGTGAATAAAGAGCTCATCTTTATGTTGCCGTGGCTACAGCATAACCACTAAATAGAAGATAAACATAACAGTAGTGGAGTGAAACAGACACAAAAACCAGTTGCACTCGTGACGTCACGACATTTTAGAACAAATGTAGTGAACGTTATTCAGAAGTGTGAACAGTTACAGGCATGGAGGTTGAAAATGGCAATGAATTTATTCATCTGATGTTCCCTGGAAACACGGTGTTGGTTACACAGAGTGACTGCCGTCCCTTTAGTTGATAATCCTAAAATCTAGGTAACATTGAGTAATAAAAATAATCCTTTTTCCACGGCTTTTAATACTAAGTCCTCCTACAAGTGTCACGTGGTTGCTAGTGGCACTGTACAGTAAGGTAGTAAGCAGTGAACTTTTCCCTTCTGTTGTCGGAAATTAATCAGGATCTGTTTTATAGCTCAGCATAAGTATTTATTAATACTTGGGCTGAATTCCTATTGGTTAAGGCTTGGTAACAGAAGAATGTTCTGTATTTTTTTTCTTGCCTAATTAAATGATTGTGGGGCTGTACATCATGTTTGCAGGCATAATCACATAATTAACAAAGATAAAATGTTCTCAAAGGATTATTATCTTTTATGTATTATAATGGGTGTCATTTTCCTAATCTTCATATAGTTTCTGTCCAAGTATAAATGTATGGAAGCATCTGCTGACTGTTGGCTCTACAAGTAACAAACCTTAAGTCACTGAAGCAATGAAATACTCATGAATATTTCATCAGCCAGATTGTTTGCTGCTGTGTATAACTTGAATCTGTGGATATTATGAATTTGTGTACCATTGGCATTAATGCTTGTATAGGTGATGTACCTCTGTGGTGTAATTTGGATTATGAAACTATACTAAATGTTCTTTGGCAACTGGATTGAATCTTTCTAGCAAAAAAAACCAACCCACAATGTAGAAATCCTTGTACTGGATATACAATGATTGTTTTTCAAGGGAGTTCAGTATCACTTTATTATAACTGTAAGGCACATATGCCTTATTAAATCACAAGTATACTTGATATTTCTTCCATGAATTTAAATCTATTCAGGTTGTGTTAGCTCATCACTACTACTGAGCAACACAGCTACATGCATAATGTAAGATCTAACATAATTTCGTGGATAAAATGTGTTGTCAGTACCATAGAGACTTATTTTCACACTAAATCTCTTCTTTGGGTATAGTCCCACTTTTTTTCCCCTCTATGTAGAATTTTCTTTTACGTGGGTAGAATCACACTGCTTTTCTACTTCAAGAGAATATGGTGCCAGATATTTTCTAAATATTTTTTTAGTATTTAAGTGGTATTAATGCAGTTTTACTAACAGTAGAAAAGAGTGTTACGCTTTGCTGTGATAAAACCTAGCTCTTCAAAGCTTTCATAGCTTTTTTTGCTGATGCATTGAGAGAAAGGGCAGGCAGTTTATCAGCACAGTTTGGGGTTGTCCACTGACTTCTGTGGGATGGATTGCTTATGTGGACTGTAAGTGGATTTCATAACCCTACCCTTTCTTTATTCTTAACTATGAAAAGTTATGTAAAATTTGAATTTTGTAAGAGATCATTGGAAGAAGTAATGGAGAACATTGCTTTTAAACTGGAGTTACTTGTTTATGGGATCCACGAGTCTTAGTTGGACCTACGTATTCATATATAAATTCTAATGTAATCTATTAGGCAAAACTGATTATCTCACAGTATCTGTAATAACACTTAAGAGTGTATTTTTAAAAAGGTCGCATCATATTGTGCAACTGTGTTTGCACACTTAGAAGTAATTGATCATTTCTTTATTAGGCAAGCTGTTAAAAACAATTACCTGATGTACTCTGGACTCTTCTTCAGCTTTGCAGAAATGTATTTAATGGCATTTTCTCCTCCAAAACTTGAATAGGTGACAGTGGTAGGGTAATGTGTTTCTTCACATGGGGCAGGGCAAGTGGAGTTGTGGGTTCCTACTGTACATAATCCTTTTACCTCTATATCATCTGAAAATTCAGGAGAAATATCTTGCACGTTTCTGAAAGAGCACTCAGCAGTAAGACTTTTCTAACCTTACAAAACGACTTCTGATTTCTTTTTATAAAGACTCATATTGGTTATCCTTAGAAAAGTGGATACTTCTTTGAAGCAACAAACATCTGCAACTAGCACTTAGGAAACTGAAAAAAAAAAAAAAAAAAAAAAAAAAAAAAGGCAAAATGTCTTTCTGAAGTATAAACTGCAATACACAGTTATTCTTATTGAGGTGGGTGCTACAGTTCTCTGTTTGCAGCACCTGTTGTCTTTCCTCTGCCTCTGAGCTTGTTTTTGCTTACTGGAAGGAAGGAGGCATCTAGGTCTGCTAGGGATGATTTGATGCGTTCTTCCCCACGGAATAACTAATTAGTTTATACACTCTCTTAATTATCAGCTTCTTTCAGAAGGGGAAGAGGGAAGAGCTCACATTGCATAGCTGCTCTCAAAGCAAAAGAGGATTTCTAAAATTTATGAGAAGCTACTTCTCAGATTCTCTGGAAAATACAATTAATGATAATCTGCTGTAATGATTAACAAATTCCATATCTGCTGTGTGCAGCTCATTTGCTCATGGTAATGAGCTACATGTGAAACATTCATTTTATTTACAAAAAGATTGCATCTTAAGATCCAGGCATTTTCAGTTAGTTTTTTGTTTTTTTTTAATCAGTCACCAAACTTCTTATTCCATCTGATTTCTATTTTCAGAATATTAAATGAACTGGGATGTGCTTCATTTCAGTATTACTTTCAATAATTTGGGGTATTTTCTGCTATGTGGGGTTTGCTTACAAAATATTGACATGAAATTATTACTTACGGATTGCAGGATAAACACAATTGTAAGACTTCATTAAATCACACTCTATTCCATTTCCTTAAAAAGAAACATTCTTTTAGGAACTTAATTGAACGACCTACCCTTAGCTCTGAAAAAATAACATCATCAAAGCCTATGTGCTACTTCATACTTCTCATTATATACCTGAGATAACAATTCACTCCAGCACAGTGCAGGTACTAAATCCAAAATGGTACATAGTGATAGAGAGCACAAGACTGGGCCAGGATGCTCCCTGGTGGAGTGAACATCACTGTTGTGTAACAACCAGGATTGCTTTTGAGGTTGCGGCTCAGTCTTTATGTTGGCTAGCTAAGGCAAGAGATTTCTGGTTGTAGTGTTGGAATTAAAAAACAAAGAGGGTGGATGGAATCCAGCTACATCCTAAACACTTCAGACCTCATGGAAGATTACTCACATAACAATTTCTGTCACAGCTCTGGGGCATACTCTTTTCTTTCAAGATTTTCTTGTCTAAAAATGGCTGATGATCAGATGCTAAGTCCACAGTAGACCAAATACTTTGCTTGTAATCTCAGAATTAAAAAAAAGACAAATATAAGTAATAATCCCAGCTGAAGTTATCCTGCAGAGATCACCTCTGCCATTCAGCAGTGGGATGTCTCCTAGCAAGGTAGTCTTTATATATATGTATATATATATAATATTTACATATTATGATAGTCCAAAGAAATACCTGGAAGGATAAAAGGTGAACAGCCGCACCAATCCTGTATATACCAGGCCTTGCATTCCTGCAAACAGCCATTAGTAGTGTAAATATCCTGGTACTGAAGTTTGATATCAGGCTTGCACTCTCCCCATGGATATTCTTGAATGATTGACTGTAGGGTATTGATAACAGAAGATCAACATCCGTCCCTTTTAATATAGATACAGTTTTCCCATATTTTTAAGTGTTAAATGCAGCGTGTTTAAGACGTAAAGCAGTAACATGATTTAATTAAGAGGCAATTACAGCTTATGCTTTTGGAATTGTAAAGTCACTTCCACTCTCACACAGCAAAACCAGGACCTGTTCAGACAGCCCAGGGCAGTGGGGTAGTCTTTTCAAGTAGCACCAGGAGAGGATACTAGGATTCTAATAAATCATTAATATTAATGGCACTTGCTGATGGACAGCTATTGCTGTAGCTGCAAAGGCATCATTGCATCAGTAAGACTGCAGGATGCTAACTTGTGTAAAAGCAGATTAAGCAGACCGTCGATGTCACCGAAAGCATTTTTTCATAATGACTGTATTAATTATTTTCTTAATGACGTATTTTAACTTCAGAAGCATCTAATTAATTGTAGTGTCTCAGAAGAGAACCAGTGACAGCAAGCACTGATACTGTCACTCTCTGGTCGAGGTGCTTACCTTCAGCTGCTGAATCGCGACCTGCGCATGCGTGCCGACTGGTGTTAGCAAACCTAACCCATCAAAGCGTGGCATCTCTTTGGGTGAATGGATAACAAACGTGATACCAGCATCAGTATAACCGAGGGCAGGGTCATCGGTGAATTGCTTCTGATGCAAAAAAAAGAATTATTGAAAACGGTTTCGGTTTTGCTTACGTTCTGAGGATTTAGCAATATTTAAATAGTGCCATGGTTTTTTGGTCTTATTTCTCTAGTTTTCTTCTAGCAATTTACAGAAGAGTTTGGAAACAAAGCAGCTGTAATTTCCTTTGTTGATTACATTGAAGGGTTTTCTTCCTGTTACTCTAAATTTCTAGAGTTTTTTTTTCTATTCTACGTTCAAAAGCAAGAGGCAAAGGTAAACCTTCATTCGTAACTTAAAGGTTCATTCCTTTCACTTGCTGCTACCCCACGTGTCAGCAAGTTTTCCACTGTTCTCTTGAGATCCTGTCACTTCTCTCCCTTACAATTTCCAGGGAGCAAAAGTGAACGTTTAACTCTTCTATAACTGTAGGTTTTAGTTTTCTTTCCTCATCTCACAAGGTATTCCATGAGCTTTGATTTTTATTTTTATTTTTATTATTATTATTATTATTTTTATTTTGTCAATTACAATACTAATAAGGCCAGAAACTATTGATAGTGCAAAGACCAGACCCTCAAGTGTTTGCATAAAATTAAATTACTTCTGGTGTTTTTCAGCTGTAGGTACACTGTATACATACATGCTTGCTTGCAGCTTTCAAAGCCATTTAGCTGGTACAGAGTCAACAGTCACTCAGAATTCTTAACCCAGTTTTGGATCTTTAAAATACACTTTCACTCTTGAGAAAGAATTTTATGCAAGAAATCTGAATGCCTGATTAAAACAAGATAAACAGATGGTTTTATATGATTAAATGTTAAAATCATTAGTATAGCTGTACCTGTTGGACATCAAAAAGTAAATGTAAGCCTCTTCCAGACAAGCTCACACTTCTTGCTGGAAGGTCGTTGTGATTAAAAGTGAAGCAGTTTCCATATTCAGTGAAAATGTGTTCAAAATCCTTAAAAAGAGAAAAAAAATAAGCAAGAATAACATGGGGGAGGGGGAACAGAACTTGCATTAGTGAATCAAAATTGTTGGTTGGGTTTTTTCTTTTTTCTTTTTTTTTTTTTTTTGTAGATCTTCCCCAAAGGCAACACTGAATTTTACAATTAGGAAAGATGGAAAAAGCATTTCAAATCCCTTTCTACAAGAAATGACCTATAGAAATTGAAAGGGTAAATTCACATAATTTATTAATGCCCATGAGCTAGTCAAAATCATTAAATGAGGTTTTGATTTTGTACCTATTATATGCTGTTGAAATGATGCATTCAGTTCAGTTTTTCCAGCGTTTGTTTAGTGGAGACTGTTTCAAATGTACACATGATACTGCATAAGGGGGGTAAAATGTCTGCATTTTTTCCCCAAACCATTTCATTGAACTGAAAACCTTTGCTAATATGGCTGCATTCCGTAACTTTAATTTTAGCTATTGGATACTTGAGTGTTTTGAGTCAACAGAACTCACTAGAGTCTAATTTCTAGAAGCTACAACATATCTAAAGGCTGGATTAACCTGAAGGTTTGTAGGACCGACTCTTCTGTTCACGTATTATATTGAAAATGGGAATTGTTTTTTGGAAAAAATAACATTCAGAGGAGGATCACATTCTTTTGTTACCTTCTGAAACTCCCGAAGATAGGCTATATTGATTTAGAATTCTTTTGGGCTCTGCCTGCAGTTACCCTGGCTGTCCATGTTCTTGACCTCAAGAATAAAACTAATGACATCAGTTGAACGCATCTGCAAAACTATGTCATAGAAAGAAACTCCCTTCAAACAGTGTCATAGGCTTTTTATAAGGAAGATGGCTGGGTGGAGCTTGAAGGCAAAACAGTTTTGAAAGACTGCTATCCAGGCAGAAGTGGGACTGGGCAGGGAGTAATGCAGACTGAAATTCCATGCTACAGCTCAGGGAGTCCAGTAGGCTGTCCTGCTGAGCTGGGCTCCTCCTCACAATGATTTACAGCTCGATTTTATTTATTTATTTTTTCTTTTCTTTCCACTGAATGACTGTAAAGGAAAGCAGAGGGAGTAGCTGGCAAAGCCAGATATCTGAAGTCAACTGGTAACAACATATCCCCTCCCTCTCCATTCTGTTCTAGTAAAGGCAAAAGTATTTACCTCCGGGTGACAGGTCTTCCCAAAAAATTCACATTCTAGCAGTGTGCTGCCATTCAGATAAAATCCGTTTTCCCTTGTGAACTCTTTAATGCTGAAGTTTTGGTTTCCAAGAAGGAAGCCATTTAGCTCTTGGAAATATTTGTCTTCCATAGAAAATGTTTGGACAATTCCAGACGCAATGTTCCAAAGGAAAAAAATGATTTGAAGGTTACTCACTGCATGAGCTTGAAACCTGTCAATGGGAAGGAGAAAGAATTACTTGGAGTTCCGCAGAATTACTGGACCAATTTCAGTGTTCTTTTTGCCAACTATGTGACGTGGTTTGTTGCTTGTTTTCAAATTATACCTCATTCCTGTCCACCACGCTTGCACTTTGATCTCTAGTGCATGGATAAACAATGTAGTCTTAATTTCTAGGAAACATTTTCAAACGAGAACAGAAAAGGACACCTTCCCAGAACTACTATATAAAGACCTCTGTTGTGTGGGGCTACTAAAAAACAAACAAATAAACAAAACAGATTGGCCATCTACATCATCCAACAGCCAGAACTGTAGAGCCGATTAAAAGCTGGACAACTGTGTTTACATGAGGAGCCATGGGAGGACCAATTCCTTTTTTTTTTAAAAAAAAAGAGCTGTGTTCCTTCATTTGTAAAATTGATTTCTATGTGCATCTCATGTACCTGTGCTACTGTGACACTAAGTCTACCTGCTTGTGAGCTCTGTCATTGGTGCCATAGTAGCAGGAACAAAACGTGATCTTTTCTCCTAGAATCCTTTGGAAATCTCAGAACTATGAGATGTTGGATGTGCTAAAAAGACAAATGAAGATTTGTGCCTCTTTGCTCTGCCAGCAAAGAAAATAATACCTGAAAACAGGAGTGAAGAATAAGCACAACAGGAACAGCAGATGGATGTGGCTGCAAATTGTCACTTAGGCAGACAACTGGTAGCCAACTGTTTTATTGCTATGTGCTGCCACTATAGTTAGAACGAATGGGAGATTTTAATAATGCATGCTCAACTCAAGGAACTTCTACTTGCAGTGTATATTCTACAGTATAACCCAGAAGGACTGTACATAGGGTGATGGGAATGAAAAACAGTGAGGCAGAAACAGTGAGCAGATGTTTGGGACTTGGTCCTTCTGGTTGATTCTGGCAACAAAGGGTAGAATATTTCAGAACTTATCATTCTTGAGAAAACAATGTGAGTAAAATTATTTTTCTAAATTACTTGCATGTTACGTATAAAAATCAGATTGTAGATTTGTTGCTTTCTTTTCTTAAAAGCAGTTACATCTGAATTGTGGCCACTACTTTCAGCTTTAGTGAAGTTCCTGCTTTGGTATATGGCTTTCAAACATGCCAAATGCTTTCCTTTTATAGATCCTACTGACATCAGCTGGAACTACAAAGGGCGAGCACTAATGGGAAAAAATAACTGCTTTGCCTAAAGTTTCTACATCTGTATGATGTTTGTATTTAAACTTATCTGAAAATGTTGTCTTTTATTTTTGACTTCTATGACCGATTATTGTCCCTTAGTTACGCTATAGAAGGAGCACTCATTGGCTATGATTTTACATGGAAGAATGTTTATACTTCCAGGTTTTGAATATTAAAAATCTGGGGCGTAATTCATCATTTGAAGATGGAGGGAGATTAAAAATCTGCCTTCCCTAATGCTCACGTTTTCTTCTTTAGTTGAATAGTGGTGTGGAACATAGATCCCTCAGATTTGTGTTTTGTGGCCTTCATGAAAAGAACTGTGGAGCCCAGCTGCTTTATATTAGCTGGATAAAGAGATGTAGCCTCTCAAGAGCAAGCAACAAGCATAACTTTTACCTGTTCAGGTTGCAAAAAGTCACAGCAGGGAATTTGACATTTTCCACATGCTGAACTACCACTGTAGTGGTGGTTGGCCAGCTGAAGTAGTAGTTAAAGCGACTGCAGATCTGCCAGATGACGATGCCAAGACAGGCTGTGACTACTAGCAGCCACAGCACTCTGCGTGTGCTGCTCTGTGTTTGAACAATTTTATGCACTCCATGGAACGATGTGGAGGAGGCAAACTCCTGACGATACTTCCTTCTGTCTTCCAAGCGTGGCAGAAGTTTCTTTGTTAAGTACAGTCGAATCTGATCCAGTTTTCCTAAGTGTTGACCAAATGAAAACACACATTTTTTTTAGATCAGCATTTAAATGGCTTTTAGGAAAGGGAGCTATGTAATTAAGATGCTGGAAAGCATCTAAGAAGAGTCAAACTCTTCGATTAGTGGGCTTCCTTCTAAGGGTAGTCTAGAATTCTAGAAGATGTGTGCTAGATTAGCTCAGTTCTATAATCTCTGTCTGGGAACAGACTATACTGTGCAATATTTTATGCCTCATGATTGTTAAGCATAGCAATATAAATGAGTAGTTCCATTTCCATGGAAAAGATTGGATTTCTGACATAGCACAGGATTCTGTAAAAAGCTAAACATCTGATTATTAAGGTCCTGGTCCTTCCTGCTTGCTCTAAAAGATAAAAAGGGAATAGTGCATTTTTCAGACTTTCACCCTTAAATTACTGAAGGTTTTTCTGTGTAAAACTTGGAGGGTTACAGATTCAAAAGGAAATCTACTCTCCTACCCTTAGGTCTGTATTAGTAGATTTAAGTGTGGCACATTTTATATATATATATTTATATATATATTTTATATATTTATATATATATATATTTTATATATTTTTTATATATATAGGTGGAACAAATTTAATGTTCTCTTGTTGCAAGATATAGATATTAGATATAGATATTGGCCACTGATTTTAGGATATGAAGACACTTTTCTTTAAGCATTCATCTTTGGTCACAGTCTGGGTCTCTTAAAAAAAAAAACAAAAAAACAAAAAAAAAAAAACAGTGATTTAAATATATTTAACATTTTAAACATTGTACAATGTCATTAAATGATGATGCTGATGATAGATAGACAAAAAGGCCTTGGACAAATGTTAGGTCTTAGCTCTCTCAATAACTTACTGTTTGATATGCGTATCTTTTGGTAAGAATATAAAGTACTTTTAATATTGACTCTGCAATTAAAAAATATAATTATGTGGATTTAAAAGAAATATTAACAGAGAATCCAAAGGTTAAAGGATGGATAAGCAAGGAGGTAAGTAAATCAGAGGGATCCAGGTACAGCAGCATACAGCATGTTTCAGTGTAGGCAAATATGGAACATGCATGTAATAAGGCAGACAGACCTACGTTCAAGGATGAGTTGCAGATAGTTTGCCTCAGGAAATGCTGACTGCTGAAGAAGCTGTGAGAGCCATGATTGGTCAGAGAAACCTGGTTTCTCAGTCCAGTGCTTTTAATGAAGAAATAAGTTATCTGCATATGTAACCAGAGATATTAGGACAAGGACTTACTGTTTTGAGTTGGTCTAAAAACTTCAGAAATTCACATTATCTTTAATGCTAAGCTGAATTTAAATAAGTTTGTTTTTTTTTTAACCTTGGTAAGTTGACAATTCATCACAATCCATAAATACTTGAATAGGGAACTAATAGGTAATAGTAATGGGCTCTTCTGATCTAGTGTGGATGGGAAGATGTAAAAGGACCCAGTGGAAAGAATGGGAAGCTGAGCTCTTTCACAGAAGAAATAAAGTACAGCATCTTGAAAAAGCAGCTTGTCTTCATCTAGAGCTGTTGTTATCTGGAAGGAGTTATTTCAAGCAGGTTGCATGTGGCTTTTGCCACCTTTACAAAGGTTACTTAGTCTGGATAGATTCAGGGATTTTGTTTATCCTTAATCTAAAAGTCATTACATTAAGACATTGGTCAGAAAAGTCATTGCGTTGTGCTACTTTTATTCTACATGCAAACAGGACCAATAGCTAGAGAGTATTCCTCACGTCCTAAGAGAAACATTTTTCTGCAAGCTTTGTTTCATCTCTCCCTTCTTTATACCTTGAAGATATATATGACTTCTATTTTGGATAAAGGTTACAAGAGAGGAGAGGCAATGTTTCTCATTTCATCAGTCCTGACAAAAACACCCAAATGTAACTAAAACTTTTGGTGAGGCACTCTAATACATCCAATTACTTACCTTTAGCATCAAATTGAGTGAATCTCCCCAGCTGGTCCATGAGGCTGTGCTTATTTCAGTAAGGAGGGAAAGGATACTGTAAGCTGCCTTATCACTGTGATCATTGCTAGCTAATGGCTTTTATAGAAAACTAAATGGGAGGTGATACTTGATGACACAATGCTGGGCAATCTACCTGCCAGGGTTGCTATGTTTTTCCTTTAGATAACATGGTCTGCAAAGTAAAAGAGAAGATTAGTTTTGAGAAGATAATTTTTATGGCAGGATCAGATGTTCAAGTACCAATTACACCAATAATAGTAGAAATGCAGTCTACTGTCTCGTTGCATCACCTTGTAAGTTAATTCTTCATAATTTCTTTTTGTTTTAGAAAGACATCTTCAGAAAAACTGTCCTGTTCCAAGTTGAATACATTCTCTTTAAGTAGATAAGGAACCCTTTCCCTGGAGGGCAGTGGATGTCTGCCTCTAAGCTCCTACCAGCAGCAGGATGTAGCTCACCCTCACTTCCAATAGCTGTCTTTATAACCAAGTGCAGATTTCATGTTTCTGTGGGCTTCAGCAAGAAATGGGCTGCAGTTCCTGAGAACTAACCCTGAGGGTGAGGAAGAAGATGCATGCAGTTGGTCATTCCATTAACTTCTTATCAAAGGGAACAGAAACCACTTTCATGGCGAGTGAACGGTGTATTATTGTTTGAAAACAATTTCTAGTAAACAACTGGGCACCTAATGAAAGGCAGTGGAAAATAACAGGAAGTTAAAATACGAGAGGTGCTTTGTTAGTCTTTCAGGAAGATTTGAAAACTGTCACACTCACTTTCTGATCTGCAGGGGATGGAGATCTTGGGGTATTTTTTTTTACTCTCATAAAGGTCCACTTCAATGCCTGCAGCACGCTTGGGTTCCTGGGTGTGCTAACTTGGTTCCTCAGTGCCTCACTGGCATTCACAGTTTGCTGGCTATTTTCTGGCAGCGTTGCTTAAGTGATGAGCTGCAAGTTAGATCACTGAGCTCCATTTACTCATTCCAGCGTGAAGAGCGCATTTCTGCACTCTTGGAAACCTTCTTGGAAAGATGGCCTCCTCCTTTTGTTACTTTTGCCTCATGAATGAGGCTTTCTACCACAGTAAGCTTTGAGCAGTACTTGCATTCGCTCAGGCAGTAAAGTGCTTAACAGTAAACTGTTTTTCAACATCTATATGTAACTCAGGCGTACCTAATGCACTGCTGAGCAGCTATTTGCTGATCTGCTGATTCCTATTAACACAAAGCACTCTAATTCACAGTACTCAAACAACGCATTTACATCACTTAAAACTTGCTTGAGTTCTTAAATCAAAATTATACTGGTCTGTTAATACTGCTGTGCATAGGGTTAAAGAAGTACAAAATGCAAGTCACTCTGCACACAGCAAATATTGATTCATCTTTCTTAAAAAGTGAATGTCTTACAAAGAGAGTGCTTATGAACTTGTCATATATTCTCTGTTTTACAAAAGAAATCAGTTTCAAATTTTCTTTCTTTTATGGTTGTTTTATGTTAATTCTTAAGCAAATGCTAGGGAGTGAAAACCAATCATCTTGTATTTGTTCATCGTTCCCAAATGGCTTACAATTTTAAGACCGTAAATTGGTCACAGGGAGCTTATTTTTTGCCATTCACTCCTTGCCATACATGTCTACTTATCTAAATCACCCAGTCTTTAATTCTTAGTGCAGTAAAGGTTAGAAAAACCAACTGATGACAGCGGTGGTCACCAATTTTGTATTCATACATACTGCAATTTCCTTCTCCAATGTGTTTTGAAGTTGGTCCTCAGTACTTTTGAGTTCTTTTATTATACTGCCAACTTTAAGAGGATACTGCAACCAATGCGACTACGTAGCAATTTGCTGAAACAAGGAGATGAGTTATCCAGATAAGTTATATTTCTATAATCTACTTGCAGAACATGTTGTAAGAAAACTTAGGGGCTGATGAAAGAAAATTATACCTATATATATACACAACCATACATATTTAGCTTTCACTGGACTTTTTTCCATAAAATGTCAATATATTTCCTACTGCCATCTGTTTCATTCTATGAAGCTCTTTGCATAAAATATTCTTCTTTTCCTCTTTTTAATAGAAGCTGATCACCTATTTACCAATAGAGAGGGCTGCAAGTACTCATACTGAATCTATGCATAGAATAGTAGCAAAAACAAAGCATGAGAAGAAAAAAAGAAGTGACCACCATCTGTTATGACATGTTGTCACTGCTGCTTTATGGCAAATGCTGGGATACGTGCAAAATGGCAACTAACTGTAAATGCAGGCATCTGTCTTGTTCCTTCTTTCAAAGCAGGTGTGCCAGGGGAATCAGCAGTGAGGGGCTAGGCTTCCAGAAAAGGCACTCAGAGAAAATTCTATGTCTAACACTTGTTTGTTTGTTTGTTTTTCCTTGCCATTTTTTTTCTGAGCCTTTTCCAAGTAGTCTTCAACTATCTTGGAGAGTGTTGTCAGGGACATGGTACCTCAGACATCCTTTCTGAGGCTGGATGGAAAAGAAGATTCCCATGCCATGTAGAAAGCTGCTATGTGAAGTTGCCTGTATGAATTGCCACAGTTCTGCTTTTTGCTGTTTAATGTATTTTTGTATCATTCTAAAATTAAAAAAAAATCAATCTGGTTTGGTTATTGTTGCTGAAGTTCAAAGGTGCTACTCTTTGCTTCACTGAAACTGCACATTATTTCAGTGCATTAAGATCACTTTGAATTCTAGCCCCCATCTGCCAGCATGCTATTATACCTTCCAGGTAATTCTCATTTGTCAGTTGGAGAAGTGTACAGTCTATTCCATCATCCAGGCCATTAATGTTAATACTGAATAGCATCAGATTAGCAAATAGCTACTGGAGTTTGTCCCGAAGCAGCCCTTTGCTCTTGCTAGGCAGCTCAGCTGCAAACAGCAGCACGAGCTGAGCCACGTGGAGGCATGGCAATGGCAATAGCTTCAGGTTCTGACTTTACTGCACCTGACTAGTAGCCAAGTTTCATGTGTTAGGAGGGAAAAGTAACAGCTTCCCTGTACTGAAGGATAGAACCTTGGAGCGAGTGGCTGTGAGGTGTTAAAAGAGGATAAATTAGACTTGGGGAAGCTCCACGGCAACCAACATGTTCTTACACATATGCACAACTTGTTTTTCGTAAGTGTACAGTTTTGGGTAATACTGACATGTTTCAGGGATGAAAGGAGGAGGATTTGGAAGTGGCAGTGGGAGCACACCTTCTCCATAATGTGGAAATCAATGATCAGTCAGAATGCGAGGAAAACAAATTGTTCCTCTGGAGCAATTCCAAGAACAGGCATTTGAGGCAACATCTTAGTACAACCAGCAGACAACAGTCAAAAGCAAAATCATCAGAGTGCTGCATGTAAAGAAAACCCAGTTGTAGGAAGAGCAGTGGTAATCTGAGCAGAGTCTGCTTTTGATCACAGGAGTGTTGATGTCAATGCTTCTGGCTGGAGAAGGGTCAGAAACTACATGATGTGGAAGAAATCCTGCTGCATTGTGCAGAACCACACGAAATAGACAGCAGGGGACAGGGGGGTTGTGCTGGGATGCACGAGATGTAATCGGGAGTTAAAAGTGTGCTGAGAAGTGACAACATGGTTCTCTGTGTTTAAGAAGTAGAACAAATACAATATTAAAAAAAATAAATCTTTGCAGCACTATCTCTTTGCTTTGTTTGTACTTTGCAAGACCTTGAGCTCTGTTCCTCCCCCAGATACAAATGCCTGATTGGATTAATAATATTGCATCAACTTCAGGCCAGTTTGTTCAAGCCTCAAGTCACTAGATTTTCTTTTTTCTTGATACAAGCTGTTAATTTCAAATGTTTTTTATACATCAGTGCCAGTTTTGGAAATTGCAAAATACTTATTTGAGAGGAGGATATTCTTTGGTGCTGTATCAATTATCTCCTCTTAACCTTCCCTTTTTGTGCCTTTATTCAAGTCTCTGTTGTAATGTTTTTATTATTGTTTTGACTAGGGAAGTTATTTTCGTTCAGTTCTTATATAGCAAGTAGCACACTAAGGTTCTTTCTGGCTTAGTCTACTAGGTGCTTCAGCTGTGCAATGGGCATTGAGAAGAAAATCAATCAGGGATACACAAAAGCAGTGTTGTGAATTGAGCTTATGGTAAATAAATAAAATGAACCATCAGATGCAGTTCAACCAGTGTGACTACCAACTTATTTATAAAGCAACAGCAAAACGATAGAAAATTCACATTTTGTAAAGCTTTTCTGGAAGTCATTTCAGTTCCATACAGTATTTACTGTATAGGTGTAAGGTTAAAGTGGTGTTAAAACTCTTGGAACTCTTTCCAGTGAACAGGACAACAGTGTTCCAGAAAAAAATCAAGAAATTCAGTTGCACCTTCTCAGCCAAAACCTACCAGTAGTTGCCATACTGCTTGCTTCTGCATTTCACTATTATATTAATGAGTTTGTCATCTGAGAGATCAGTTCTTTCACCAATGAAACTAGCAACGTGTACATCTGTACATTGATGTTTTACCTTTTAAATGCTCAATTTCAAAACAGACACAACTCAATTTGAGCAATTGCAGAAAAGAGAGACTGGGAGCTTCTTGTGAGCTCATAAGCTATGGCTTGGTAGTGAATGGTATTTAGGAATACTCAGTTAGTTGGCAGGAGGTTTGTAATTAGCACAGGGAGTTGCTCCTTCACATGGTGTGCACTGCAGTTATTCCCATTGCAGCGGGCTGTGGACTCACAGTGTCAGGGTTATTATATGCAGGGACATGGGTACCACAGGAAGTCCTACACTATCAGTACTGGAAAATTAGATGGGGAAACTACCTCACTGTAAGCTTGCTGTTTGTTTGATTGATTGATTCTTCTAATAGGCTCCTCCCAAGACACCTGCTTTCTAGTAGAATCTTTTATGCTTACCCAACCCACTGCAGGTACTATTACATAGGTAAAAACAATTTGTGCTGAATAACTCCTTGTGTTTCCAGGATAAGCATTGGGAAGTGTTGTGTGGGGTATCTTGAGATTTGTTTTGGGTGAACAAGTCGCTTGTAAATACAGAGAAGACTTTTGTTGGATTTCTGACATTACACAGTCATTCTTCTCTCTCCTCATTAGTTCACATCAGAACAAGTGGCCTCTTTACTACAGCTGTACCTGCAAAATACAGGACGCTTCTGGCTTACACCAAACCTCCCATTGGCCTAGCTAGAGGGAGGCTCCTTTTCTGCTCTTACAATTCACTTCTTTCAGTGTAAGTAAGTTCAGTTTGTCTCCCCTCTGCAACTCCATTGCAGCTGTGATGAACAAAGCTAGTCAACGTCCACAGCTGGGGAAGGGAAAAAAAAAGGGGGATGAGGGTGGATTAAGACAGGGGTTTAACAGTTGTCATGCTTGGTCATGAAGATCATGACAGCTTAAAGGCCACAAAGTGCAGTTCCTGGAACATGTGCCTTTCTCTTTTTTTTTTTTTTTTCCACTGTGTTTAACTGTTTGTCTTGTATTCAGCCCAGTCAAAAAACAGAACTTTCTCTGCACTGAAGGTTAGAGTCCTTTGGTACATTTCAGAACGAACAGAAGTCTTTGTCTGACTTTCATGCTGTAAAAATAAATAAGCAAGGAAACAGAAAAAAAAAAAAGAGAAAATCTCAAGGACATGCACACATGACTGGCTTTCATAGACTTGCTCAGTCATCCACAGCATGAACAGCAAGCTGTGTGTGTAATTACATCTGCTTCTACCTAGTTCTGCGTGTTCAGCATGAAAAAGGGAAATTATGGTGCATTTTGAGAAGAAGGTAATACCATTTAGTTAAAATCAAGGTTACGTTTTGCTTTTAGATATATACGAAGGAGCTTTTTGATAAAGATTCCTTAATGATTATGCTAGTATAAAGAGATGGCAAAGGAGCAGTAGAATCTCAGTGGGGAAAGGTGACTAAACCACTCAAAGAAGGGTTAGATCCCAGATTTGAGAAGCATGGCAGAAGCATGAGTAGGCATTTATTTCTCCATCATTTATAGAAGTGTCTACAGCTAAGACAGACATAAAGGCTCTGAGTTGAGCCAGACCTTGTGGCTCTTTCACTCTGTGCTATTGTCCAGACTGCCAACAGATAATTTCATAATCAGGTTGTACAAGTTAGCTTTGCTTTTATTTGCTCTATTTATCAGTACCAAGTTCATTATGTACTTTGATGGCTTACTGAAATCACATTCAGGTAGCCAGTGAGGTGAATGAGTGATGGAATCAATCAGTTTTGAGGTCTGTAAGCAGAGAATTTGAACGTGTTGGAATTATTGTGATTAATTTCCTACATTCTTGCAATTTGGCTGATTTATTTGGTTGACTGCAGCTTGTTTGTTGCTGAATCAAAACAGAAATTTCTGTATCTCTTGATTCAGTATTCCCAGCTAGATTTCGGGAGTTTAGTAACCCTAAACCAACCAAGGGTAGTATTACTTCCTGAACTTGCAGTTAATGTTTTGTTAAGCACAGAGCTTAAAAGGGCTCTTAGACTTCAAAGTCTTTCCTATAGGCAGGCAGTATAACTGTTGCAAGCCAGAGAACATTCCTCTGAAAACGCATTATTCTTTGGGCCCCATGAAAGATATTGAATTGCACAACGAAACACATTAGCTTCTCTGATGTGGATAAGAGTTCATATTTTTCAGCTGTTCTTGTTCCTTTAGTGTATTCACACTCCTTCTTTGTGACATTAGGAAAGGTAACAGGAAGTTTGATTTCACAGTGGAGGTTCAGGATGTCAACTGGAAATGACAAACCAAGCCTTGGTTGCCCATTTTGATTTTGAGATCTGTAGATGGGGCAGGTTATGTTATTGTCACAGTGTGATGGGGTTGGAAGGTCTTGGGTTGGAAGAGACTCACAAGGGTCATGGAGTCCAACTACTGCCTCCAAAAGCCCCAAATCCAAACCCTGTGTCTGAGTGTTGCCCAAATGCTTCTTGAACTCCAGCAGCTCAGGGCCATGCACATCGCCCTGTGGTGCAGACCTATTCCTCACCCCCACCTGCCCCAACCCTGACAGCTCTGCACCATTCCCTCAGCCCTGTTGCTGTCACATGGAGCAGAGCTCAGCACTGCTCCTGTGGGTAGCTGTAGCCACCATCAGGCCTCCCCTCAGCTCCTCTGCTCTGGGCTGAACTCAGTTTTAAGCTAATATTTGTTTAGCGTGACATCCAGCATCTGAGTTAGCAGGGTATATATCCCATGACCCACATATTTTTCTGTTGTCCATCTACTCTTAAATGACTGGAACAGTTGAATCCAGCACACGGATACCACTGCACGATGCATGAGAGTAAATGGCCTGGGTTCACAGGGTCCCTGTAACTTTGTTTACAGAAAAACTGAGCTTTAACTTCTTTCAGAACAGGCTGGCAGGTACAAAAGAAGCGCACACTGGTAACACGTTACTTCATAGTCTGTTAGGCTGATGATTAGACAGAATTGAGTAACATTTGTCAACAAATGAGAGTGAAACTTCTGCAGGAAGAAATAAAATCAAGAAATTGTAATGAATTAAACCTCTGGAATAGTATCATGCACATATTTTTCTTTACTTGTTTTACTGAATCTGTGTGCCCACTTTGAAAATAAGTGCATTGCTTGAAAGCCTTTACAAACAGTACAGTTTCCCATGGAAGTATCAGTTTTCTTTCTTTTCCTTCCTCTCCCTCTCCTTTTTCATGTTTCATTTTTTTAACAGTTTGAAGTATACCAATGCTTTGATATGAGGGGTTGCATGTTAAAAATCTACCTAAGCAATCTCTGAATTAAATATTAAATATTGTCTTTATTCACATGCAGACTTCTCATTGACTTACCCCTTACACCAGCCAGGGTCTCCATCAGGGAAAGACACACAGCAAAGTGCACAAAAATTGTCATGTGGGAAAAAGCAAGTATCCCAGCCACTCTTTTTTTTCAAAAACATTAGAGAGCCAAAACCACATGAACTTATTGACCTTTGTGCCATGACAATTCTGTAATTATTGAATAGCAGGGATGAGCTGAGAGCTAAGAGGATTTGGGAGGGTTGGTCTACAGAGGGAGATAAGGTTACATATAAGGCAGCTGCAGCACATTTGGGTTAACTGAGTTGGCTTTTTTTTCCCCAGAGCACAGCTAAGTGAGTTTGGACCCTGGAACCATGAGTGGGTGCCCCTTCACAGGGAACAAATACTTGTGAGTTACTATTATCTTTATTTTGTGTTAAAAGATATAAAGTTAATGTAAATTTTGGAGAGGAATTAATGATTATCTGTAAATAGACTGCTATAGATATCCCTAAGGGAAGGGAGAGTGAACCTTCAGGGAAGGGCTGTGTGATGAACTAGATTTAATGCTACCAGCTATTACTGCTGTGACAAGGTGTGTGTCAGGTGCATTCTTTTTCATAAGATTGCTTTAGTAGTTCATTTTTTTTCATCATTTGAATTTTAGTGAATTTTAATGAAATGACAGATATAGCAATAGTTCTTTAATTAAATAGCTCACGTATTTTTTTGCTTTTCTTCTCAGATATAAATTTGGCAACCTATCTTTGAAAGATGAGAAAGGTGACGAATCGCAGGAGGGAATAAATAAAGCCAGCAAAGGTGGGCTTATCTATGGAGATTACCTGCAGGTAAGTGTAATGATTTGAGTTTTACTGCTCTGGATGCTTGGAAGACTTGAGTAAGGACACAAGATTGGCACTTCTTCCAGTCATGCACTGGCAGTAGTTAGTTGTACTGGCAAACCTAAACCATGAAGCGATGCAGCACAATACTTTATTTGATCTGATAGTTAGCAGTTTTTCTGCAAATCAGGCGGCCACGTGCAACTTTCCCCAAATTATTGCATGAAACTCCTTAATATTTGGTTGGAAAATTACATTCCAGTAATGTAGGGTATGAAAAGAAAACAAACAAAAAAAAAACAACCACCCAAAACACAGCTAGAAGTAATCAAGAAATATGTAAAAATAAAATGTTAGAAGTGATAAGACAACTTAGACATTTGCTTTTATTTTCATGACAGCAAGAACTGAAATGAGTGGAATTACTCCGTGCTTGTGAACAAGCAATTAATTTGTTGACATATAATACAGAATCTTGCAAAGATTTCTTTTAAAGCAGCTGTGAGATAATGAATTTGACTCAATCAAAAATTACTGATGCCAGAACTGAAATAACTAGTTCAGCCTCAAATCAAATCTCTGGCATAGTTACATATTATACAGTTACAGAATTTTCTATCAGAAGTCTCTTGCACTGAATATGTCAGTATTGATATCAGCTCTGGAGAATGCACTGTGTATTTTGTGTTCTCCTTTTTTTATGTATGTATTCAAAAATCTTAAAATGATTTTCCAAACTTTTTCACTTGACGAACTTGAATGTTAATTTCAGATTATTTTCCTTTTTTTTTAAATTATAAAGAAACTATTTTTTTTAGCTTCTCATACAAACTGGATTATTTTTTTTTTGCCTTCAATATAAGCCCTACACAGTAGGAACACCGTGTCTAATAGCAGAATTGAGAACTTTACAAATAGTCTTTTATTATTGTTATTTTTAAGTTGAACAAAATACTGAATGCCCAAGAGCTACAGAGCGAAAAGAAAGGAAACAAAATCCACGATGAGCATCTTTTTATTGTGACGCATCAAGGTAAGCAGGCAAGAGGATTAGAGCAAATGTGGTTTGGCATTCTTGCTGCAGGAAGTTACTTAACACTGACAAGTGCTATGTGTAATTTGTTTTCATTTTTCACTCTCTTTCTAGAGAAATTCAGGTGGAGAAAATATTCCTAGCTTGAGTAACAGGGTGCTAAGCAGTTTATTGTAGGCGAGCTTGATATATTTTGGTTTGTGGCTTCTCTGAAACTTCAATCCTGCTTTACCCATTGAGAGGCATTAGAAGTCAGCACAATGGTTACATGCTCTTATCCACATGGTTTGCAGGCTCTGATTGGATGATACTTTCCTGTTGTTGATACGAAACCTGTAGATGTCACTGAAGTTGTAAGCAGCTCTGGGGTTATAATGGGATGCCACTGTCCTGTTGCTAAAGTTGTACCTGAGTTTTTCACTTTCCCCTCTTGTAATCTACGTTCTGTACATCTATTATCTGATGTGGAAAGTATGCTTCGTAAAGTTCTGTTTATGCTCTTGATACTAGATTACTTCATAGAATAGTTTTGGTAATGGACAACACACTAGAAAAGGCAATACTTCTTCATATCAGCACTTTTTTATACCCCAACGTTGTAAACGTAGTTTATTCACTTCAAATCAGAAAGTAAGAATTTTTCCTCATCTTTGTGAAGAAAAAAAGAAAAAAAAACCCAACAAAATAATGCTGAAGTTATTGCTAACAGTGGCTTTATTGTTTTAGCTTATGAACTTTGGTTTAAGCAGATTCTGTGGGAGTTGGACTCTGTTCGGGTGATCTTCCAGAACGGACATGTAAGTCAAGTAAATATTCATTCTGGTAAAATTAGGACTCCTCTTTCTTTGCCTCTCAGCTTGATGTATATGAGTTACATATGGTTGGTGCTTTTTTTTTTCTTTCTTTTTTTTTTTTTTTTTTGCACAGCAACCAAAAGAAAAAAAAACATTGGCTGTATGGCTCTTCTATCCTCATAGTGTGCATGGATACAGAATCCATTTTCCTCACCTTTTGCATAGATGCCTCTCCAAGACCAGTTTCACTGGCCAAAATACTCTCATACTTTCCTACCAGTACTGGGAAATTGCAGAAGATAATTTGGGTGTATTTTACTGCAGATAAGTCACGCTTGGAGGCAAAACTGAAGATGGGCTAACAGGTCTATTTACGCTGACTTGTCAGTGTCTGCCTTTGTTTGAGTTTTTGAACTCCAGTATCTGCTACATGAAAGCAAAACTATTTGCAGCAGCAGTGTACTGTGAAATCCAACAGAAGAGCAATAATCAAAATCATTATGTATAATTACATGAGAATTTTGTAAAATGACAAATATAACAGAAGCATTTTAAACAACTCCAAACATTTATCCAACACTAAATGTCATATACACATGTCATAACTATTGATAACAAGAGAAGCCTCCTGACTTAAAATGCTCACAGCAAAATGCTGACTGCATGTAATACCTTGAATAACAACCTGAGTTTGTGTATGTGAAGAAAAACTTGAAGTAGAACCAGACTTTATTTCAGAAAGGAGGAGTCTTTTTTCCTTATAATGATTGATGAAAATGTTCTTTGTTGTCCTCTGCAGTCATAATATTCTTGGCTTTCTTAAAATTGTATCAAAATGTATTTGATCATAATCAATTCTTAATAGAATAATTTTTATTTATTTATTTTTGTGATAAATGAAAGCTATCATACAATCAAAACTTGAAATGTCAATGTTAAGGTTAATAGCAAAGCAAGACTATTAAGGAAAAAATTTTCATATTTCATTTTTATAGCTTGATATTTTCTGGTTGTTTGCCCTGGTCTCGGAGATAAAAATAGGATTGAGTTAATAGGAATCAGTGAGAGAAAAATGGATTTAAAAAATTGAGTATTATACTTTCAGTTAAAATCAGAGTCTATTCAATATGAGATTGTTTTGCTGTTAGGGGCTTCACGTGGAAAATGACTTGAAAGCTATCATGTTGCATAACAGTGAAAAGATGTGAAATAAATAGAAAAGAGAACACTGCTTTCTGTTGGGTCATTATATTTATTTCTTATTAAGGTAAGAGATGAGAGGAATATGCTGAAGGTTATTACTCGAATGAACAGAATTTCAATGATTCTGAAATTACTTGTGGAACAGTTCTCAGTTTTGGAAACCATGACTGCACTGGACTTTTTTGATTTCAGGTAAATACTTACTATTTCTCCGTAGTAATGCATGGAGTAGTAACTCTTATCCTTTGAGCTGGTTGTGAATTTAAGCAAGGACTTGCACGTACCCTGGCAACTTGTAGTACCTGATTTGCTCAACAGGGTGAGAACAAAATCATAGAATACTTTGTTAGAAAAGGACCATTAAGATCACCCAGTTCCAGCCCCTCTGCTATAGGCAGGGATACCTCCCACTAGAGCGGGTTGCTCACAGCCTCATCCAACCTGGCCTTGAATGCTTCCAGGGAGAGGGCATCCACAAGCTCTCTGTGCAACCTGTTCCAGTGCCTCACCACCTTCACAGTAAATAATTCCTTCCTAATATCTAGCCTGAATCTACTCTCTTTCAGTCTAAAAACCATTCCCCCATGTCCTGTCACTACATGTCCTTAAAGATTCTTTCCCAGCTTCCCTTTAGGCCCCCTTCAGGTACTGGAAGGCTGCTCTAAGGTCTCCTCAGAGTCTTTTCTTACCCAGGCTGAAAAGCCAACTCTCTCAGCCTGTCCCTGTAAGGGAGGTGCTCCAGGTCTCTGGTCATGTTCATGGCCCTCTTCTGGACCTATTTCAACATCTTGATGTCCTCCTTGTGTTGGGGGCCACAGAACTGGGAGCAGTACTCCAGGAAGAGTGTCACAAGAGCAGAGTAGAGGGGCAGAATCACTTCGCTCTACCTGCTGGTCACACTTCTCTTGATGGAAGCCAGCATCAGTTAGCCTTCTGGGCTTCAAGTGTGCATTGCTGGCTCGTGCTGAGTCTTTCATCAACTGGCACCCCAAATTCTTCTCATGTCATTCTCATTCCAGCCTGTATTTGTGCTTGGGATTGCCCTGAGCCAGGTGCATAACCTTGCACTTGACCTTGTTGAACTTCAAAAGGTTGGCATGGGCCCACCTCTCGAGCCTTTCCAGATCCTTCTGGTTGATATGCCTTCCCACTAGCATGTGAACTGCACCTCTCAGCTTGGTGTCATCTGTAAACTTGCTGAGGGTCGATGCCACTGTCCATGTCACCTACAAGGATGTTAAATAACACTGGTCTCAACACCCGTCCCTGAGAAACACCACTC